TGTATGCATAAATAAATAAATCTTTTTAAAAAGACAACTTTATTTCTTCCTTATTAAACAATATCCTTTTATTTCCTTTTCTTGCCTTACTGTGTTAGCTCAAGCTTCCAATATCATGGTGAAAAAGGAATAATGGGAGGAAAAATCGTTACATTGTGCCCAGTCTTTGTGGGAAAATTTTGTTTCTCATCATGAAGTATAACTTAGATATAAGTTTTTTGTAGCTGTATTTCATCAAGTTGCAGAGTCCACTTCTACTCCTAGTTTGCTAAGAAGTTCTTGTCATGAAGGGGCATTGGATTTTGTCACATGCTTTTTCTGAATCTATTGAAATCATCAAGTGATTCTTCTTTAGCCTGTTGTTGTAATGAACTACATTAATTGTAGTTTGAATCTTAAACCAGCCTTTCATACCTGGAATAAACCCCACTTGGCTGTGGTGTGTAACTCTTTTTTTTTTTTTTAAAGATTTATTTTATTTATTTATACAAGCACTGGGTACAGTCAGAGGCACAGGAGGGTGAGAGAATTCACCAGAGCCAGAATGGAGAGTAGAACAGGCAGAGTGACGAAGTACACTGCTGAGGGGAGCAGCGGGCGTGACAGGAGAGGTCTGCACGCCATGTGGGACTCTTGCCCAGCAGCCGGGGATCGAACTGGTGCTACAGAGACTGCGGGCAGCTTCGCAACCCAGCGCTCAACTGCTGCACCACCGGGGAGGCCCTAACTCTTTATATATACCTATTTGTTTCTGTAATTTGAGGGGCAGCACATTTTCCTGTGACATCGTTATCTGATGAATCTAAGAAGCTATTGATTTTCAGACTTTTACTTGGTGTTAGAACACAACAATTATTCCCAGGCTTCTTCTGTATACTATATATCAGAAGTTGTTTGTTTAATTTTTTATGATTTATCGTTACATATTGGTAGCAACTTTTAAAATTATTACTAAGGACCTTTGAGATTAATGCAGTTTAAATTTAGAGGTTAGAGACAAAAATATTTCAGTCAAACCATTTGTTAAAATGAAAATGGAAAATAAATTTACTTGTGTTTTTAGATAAGATTGCAAAGAAAATTGCCTTTAGTAGTTTCCCTAATCAAAATACTTTACTTCATTAAGCTCACAAATTTTTCCGATAGTTTTAATAGTTTTCAGTTGAAAAAACAACATAAATATGAAACTCAAAGCCCAAAGTGGAAGGTAAAGAGAAAACTCCAAGTTATCCAGTCATACCCAAGGCTCAATGCTAAATCTCTTCCTTCTCAACCATCTGTAATTATGAACTACAACATTTGGCTGTGATTAGAAACAAATGAAAATCCTAAGCAATGGTTCAAAACCAACCAAGCCACTTTTGATAAATAGGTTATAGAAAAACTCTCCCTACTAATTCTTTGGTCTGAGCATGACTTGCTCTATTTTTTTTTTATTTGTTTTTATTTGTTCATGTATACAAGAGCTGGGGTGCAAGTCAGAGGTGTGGAAAGTGAGAGGATTCACCAGAGACAGTGGGGAGCAGAATAGGCAGATTTACTGAAATACGCTGCTAAAGGAAGCAGCAGGCAAGATAGAAGAGGTCTGTTTTGCCATGTGGGTTAGCTCCCTGGCCGGGGATCGAACTCATGCAGCAGTGGCTAAAATAGCTTGATAGTGCTGAGAGTTTAACCCCTGTGCCACCAAGGAGGCCCAGTGACTCACTCTATTAACAAGTACATTGAACACCCTTTGTCTGTCTATAAAACCAAGGCACTTGCAAATTAGTCCTACTTTTTCAAACATAGTATGTATTTATTTATGTAATAACAGACTATCATACTTGAAAGTACATTGGTAATAATTATAATATAACTTATAAGGAAATGTAAATTAATGAAATTCTTTATTAGAGACAGCACATTATTTTAGAATGAGTACCTTTGGAGTTAGAGAGACCTAAGGTGCAATCCTAACTCAATGGTTTGGATGAGTACCTAACTTCTCTGATACTTAGTTCCCTCATCTGTGGAATAGGAAGTAAGCATATAAACTCTTACAGTGTTCCTAGGGTTAAATGAGATAATACTGTTAACTTCTACTCCCTTCCATTCCAATACAATTAAGATTCTAAGTGCTAGAGTTAACGGAGAGCAGAAGTGTCAGAAATATGCTTTCTGTGGGCCGTACAGTGTTTCAATTTGTCTTAATTTGAATTATTTGATAACACTTAAAAATTAAGAGTTCACATAAAATCTGGATTTCTGGTTCCTCCTGAAATGTAGTGTCTGCAATCTTCATGAGCCGTCAATCTGCTGGAGCTGAGCAGCTGTTTCTTCCTCCATTTCTCCCATCTCCACCACTCGTTGTCATACACTTATCTCACTCACTTACATGACCTGCCTGGCCTGGGTGAATTATTGGTATTTGTGACATCTGATGGGAGTAAAATGTGCTTAAAGGGTAAGATTACCAGAGAAGGCTTTTGTCGTGTACACTGTGAGGTGGACTTTGAAAAGGGGTCATGGGCAAAGAGTATGTACTTGATGGACATGAGTGTAAACAAAGCTGCAGGCCTCTGACTGGACTTCTATTTGATATGTGCACTCATGAGTTCTTCCTGGATTTTTGTGTGTGTGCTTAAAAAAGATGAACAATGAACTGTATAGCTTAGCAGCACTGAAATTAGTTCACACATATGGAGGACTAGAAAGGAGAAGGGCCTTTTCTGGTGTGGCTTAATTTTTATTGGCACACACATGCCAACACACACACTCACTTAAACACCTTTACCACCATCTCCTATCAACAATGCCAGAACACATTTTCTGTCACTTCCTAACCTGTAAGCATGAGAGGAATACAAGCAAGAAAGGACAAGCAGGGAAGTCTGTGAACTTGACTATACCTTCCTTCATAAACACAACAAAAGAGAATATTGAGGCAATTATTTGCATAAATAAGTCCAAAGTAAAAGAAATTCCAGCAAGATGGGGATGTTTTGCCTGAATTATGGAGCTAATTATCTCAGTCCTCCACTTTAGTGTTCCTGGGGAGACCTGGCCGAAGAATGCTTTGCTGGTGAGCTGGCGGGTCTGGAAGTGGAGGAAAAATGTGTTATTTTAACAGCAGCTATGGAGCAGGAGCCTGATGCTGTCTCTGTCCAGAACACCTGTTGAAGATTTCCAGGCACAGACCCTGGCTTGCAGACCAGCACTGTTGACTGAAAAGAGGGGCTCTAGAGAAGATGAGCATGGTCTGCTCCTAGCAAAAGGCATGCCAGTACCCAAAGGGATCACACTAGCTTACTTCTCATACTTTTACAACTGTGACTCTGGCATAGAAGTTGTAGATGATTTTTATTTTTCTGTTTAAAATGTATATTTTTTCAAACAACTTTTGGTAATAAAAATGGCACCTTATTAATGAAACCCTTCTGCCTTAAAGTATGAAATTAAAAGATTATTATAACTACAGGCAAGAAAGCATTTGGTTTATGTGGCATTTGTGTATGATAATAAAAATTATCCATATGTTCTAACATTGACTATGCCTTACATTGCATTAGTAATCACCTAATATGAGAGTGATTTTGATTATATAGCTCATTTTAAATTCTGGTGTGTCCTAGGTCAATGAGAACTAAACAGTTTTTCTAAAAATAGCTGCCATCTTCTTTTGTGAATGTTGCTAGGTGCTTAGGCAGAATTAACATTTCAGGACATGTTTTTGGTATTATGATGCTATAGTCTTCTTATACTTTCTCACTTTGTACCTTCTTAAGAATTTCTATTTTGTTTTTTTTTTTTCGGGTCTGATTTGGGTGCATGAAACAAACTCCAATAGTAAGAGCTATAAAAATGTGTTTCATCCTTCTATTTGTATGTAGGCTTTAATGGTTTTTCTCCAGGTGTCTGTAACTTTAGATTATGAGCTTTGGGTAGTGAACAAGCAGGATGCAGAGGCCAGAATTAAGCTATGTCTTTTTTTAAGATTTATTTATGCATACAATAACTGGGGTACAGGCCAGAGGTGTGGGGGAAGAGGTGAGAGGATTCACTAGAAACAGAGTGGGGAGCAGAACAGGCAGATGAACTAAAATACACTGCTGAGGGGAGCAGCGGGCGAGTCAGGAAATGTCTGCTGTGCCATGTGGGTAGCTCCCTGGCCAGGGATCAAACTGGTGCTGCAGTGGCTGGGGAGAGCTTCATGGGTTGTGTCTTAACTCCTTGCGCCACCAGGGGGGCCCTAAGCTATGTCTTTAAAAGAATTGGAAGTCTCTCTGCCTTCCTCCACCTTTTGCACTGAGTGAGGAACTATAGGGCTTATTCCTCTGCTAAACTTCCCAGAAAAGCCAACGACTTTTTTGCAAGTTGACCTTCTGTTGACAGATCTTGATGGAAAACTAATCTGGGTATATGTGGGTCTTGGCCCAGTATCATGGTCACCAGGACATGCCCCTGCACTGCTTCTGAGCCCTGACCTACTCTGTCCTGGGTCACAGACACTCCCTGTGCATGTCTTCCAACTATTATTTCTTCTCCACCCACCCTAGATTTATTCTTTATTTCTATAATATGCTTATTAGATTCACCCTTGGATTGTTTCTGTTTTATTTGGCAAATATTTGCCAGAGGGATACACTTCCGGATACAGAATGTCTGGATACAACAATACAGAAAATAATTTAGAAAAGTTAACAACTCTAGGAGCTTGTCACTAGACTGTGATTGTGCTATGGTGGGGTCAGTTTGAATCTAACTCATAGTAGGAGAAACAACATCATGTTTTAGGCTGTACATTCCTAATATCACTGGATTTTTAAGGCTAGGCAGAGGATGTTCTTCATCTCTGTGTATCTGCAGCTGGTAGAGAACCTGACATCTAGAAGGCACCATAAATTAACGTTATGAATGAATGCAGTTACTCCATAGAAATTATTCTCGATTATTGAACAATACACATGCCTACACTCCATTTTCCATTCCCACGCATAATATAATGAACTCTTTGTCCTAAGGAAACTGGCCAAGAAGCGGAAGGAGACAATGAGCAGCACCCGGCAAGAGATGACTGTGATGGTGAATTCAATGGATAAGAGCTATGCCGAGCAAGGCACAAACTGCGATGAGGCTTTCTCCTTCATGGACACGCACAATCTCAACGGGAGATGTAAGTGCCTGTGTTTCTCAGCCTTTACTACATCTCTGGTTTCCTGGGATCCAGATAGTATAGGGGAACTAAAAGAAAAAACTCCCTAAAGAATTTCTTATGGTTTCCCCAGCCCCTTTCAATGGTTCTGAAAACTCTTTACATGCTGTGGTTGCTCAGGAGAGTTATTCTGAGAGAGACAGGGCCAGATCAGAAAGTCAGGGAGCCACAGGTACGTTTCTGTAAAGAGCTAGAGAGTGATCGCATGAAGGCTCCTTTCCTCCTGAAGAGGAAGTCACCTGCTTCTCATCATTCTTTTTGTTGTTTAGATCCTATTTGTGAGCTAGCCAGGTGTGGAATTACACAAGGGAAGCCTGTTATAAAGCAGTTCACTAAATGGCAGTAACAAGTTAATTGTTTATTTGTTAGCTGACAGGTTCTGCCTTTATTATAGGGCTATTAGTGGCAATTAATAAGTTAAACTGTATTTCTACTTCACAAGCCTTACATTTTACACCAGGTGGGTAAACCGACCTCAGCTAATACCTTTCCATACTACCACCTGTGATCCAAGTACAAGGCTTTATTTTTAGGAAGCTACCAGTTAGATTGATTATCTGAAATACAGAAGTGGTTTTGTCCCTCGTAATCGTCTCAGAGACCAGAAATAAATTCATGGTCTATGGCTGACTCTGGTTCCCAGCCTGCTGGGTTCAAGGTCAGTGACTGCTTTACCATGTGAAGTCGTGGCTACATTATCAGTATATTGGTCAGCATGCGGATGGAATGAAAGTGTAGCTGCCAATTAGTAAGAAAAATGCATAAAAGCTGGGGGCCTGGTGACTATGAAGCCCAGAAACACTGTCTCTGCAAGAGGCGGCTGATACCATGTGGACAAGGTGAGCTTTTGCCCTGCCTGCCCGCTTGGTCCTCCCTGATTCTGCAGCTCTCCTCATCCATTCTCGTCAGGCACAGCATGGCCAACCCATGTATTTCCTGCCACAGCCAGGCTTCCTAGGGTTTAGTCACTTACTTTTTTTTGCTTAGAGTGGCTACAGCTGCCCACTTATTCCTCCTTAGAGGCGCTGTTTATTATCTCTACTTAGACACCTGGCTTGGTGGAGGAGCATGCAGTAGACACCATGGGGGTGGGGATTTAGGACAAACTCCTCATCCCTAGTCCCATGTCATTTTCAGTGTAGGTTCCCAAATCTGTGGTACTTTAGTGTACCACAAACTGCATCTCATCTTTTCAATAAATTTCTGCACTTTCTTGCAGCAAATACTGGATTTTTCATTTTAAAAACTATAATGCATTTGGGCTTCCCCTGGTGGCGCAGTGGTTGAGCACTGGGTTGCGAGGCTGCCCGCAGCCTCTGCAGCGCCAGTTCGATCCCTGGGCACCGGCGAGGGTCCCACAAAAAAAAAAACCCTATAATGCATTTGACTGCAAAATTTAAATAACTTATGATGAATTAGTTGTGGGTTGAGGTGGGAGAGGTCCTCCCCAGGACAGACAAGGTTAGTATCATCAAAGAAATTATTTATTGAACATCAGTATAAAAAGGACACACAGAAATACATTCTCACTTTCCAAGATAATCCATTAATGTTCTAAACTTTCAATTTCATGGTGAAATTCTTCACGAATAAATTTACTTGGAATTACCTGCCCAAAGAGCAGAATGCTATGTTAGGAGCTTCTGGGCTTTTGAAGTTTGAACAACAGGGAATATTTGCCTCTGGACAGGAAATTTAATTTGGCAGTTACTTTTACTTTTTTTTTAAAGATTTATTTATTCATTTACACAAGAACTGGGTGTAGGGGCAGGAATGACACTGAGCAGGTTTTCTGATCCAGCAGACCGGGTAAAGGAGGAGTCAGAGTCCTCAGTGGCTTTTGCAGGTCTTTTATTTAGATTTACCAGGCATATGGCAGGCAGGGGTGCTGGGGGGCCGGGAGGCTGGCAGTCCTCCCAGCCCCCTGCAAATCCTCACTCTATCTGGGCTCTCTCTGGCGTTCTCTGTTTCTCTTCTTCTCTCGGCTTCCGTTCGTTCTTGGCTTCTGCTGGCGTCCCCATGACACCACCCTTATAAACTCAGTCTCTCAGCCCAGGTGTACCCACTCCAGGTGCCCGCCATCAGGCATGCATTCAGGACCACAGGGTTCCCTCATCTATCCTGATGGCGGGAGGGCAGAAAAGCCTGATACTTTTTCCTTACCCTACAGCTCACCCCTCAGGTTTTCTGCCATAAAATCTACACAAGTCACATACATTTTTCTTGGCAATAGAACACTGCAGACATGGCCCACAAAAACAAATAATACACATCACAATAGAACAACAAAATACATAAAATACAACAGAACACAAATAATTCTAGGCAGGGCACCAGCCTAGTGGCAAAAGACAATTATTGGCACCAGCAGATGAGCCACCAAATCTGCTGCCGAAGGCACTGCTCATACGAGGGAGGGGAACCACTCAGACATCTCTGTCACATGCCAGGAGCTGTCAGGCTTCCTGGCCTTCTCTGGCTGTAGTCTCAGCTACAAGCCACACACCGCATCCACCCGCAGGATGCACTCGCTCTGGGATTGGCAATTCTATTCTACTATTGGGGGTAATCGCCAACCCTCAGGGTTTCTGTCTGCAGTCGCTCCAACACTCGGCTTTCATAGCCACCAGTGCGACATGCAGACTCCTGCACTCAGGCCAACCCACTGCACAAGCACATAGGTCGGGGATCCAAACTCTACATGAGGCCTCTTTCGGGTCCCCTCTTCAGCTTGGGTTCCACCCCAAGCCACGTTCCCCACCCGTCCCTCAAGGATGGGTTCCTTAGCTCCTCACCCTCACTCGAGAATGAGCAGGGCATCACCCGCAGGTGATTTTATGAGACTCACTGGCCTCCCTCAGCTTACTTAGTGCTTAACAGCCACTCAGGGCTTCCCAAACTTAGCATCAGCACCAGCTTTTGTCTTCTCAGTTGGCTTTTCTCCTCTGCCTGGCTGCTGGGCATACACAGGCTGCTTTTGGCTATCAAGGCCCACTGGCCACCCCCAGATTCCCATCTCCTGGGGTGTACAAACAATAGCACCCTCTCCCAGGATACCAAAAACTTAACTTGCCAAAGTTCCTCCACCTTCTGGCGGGATTGTCAATCCAAGTTCATCAGTCCAAGTCCATTAGGCCTCTCCCTGCCATCAGCACTGGCAAGCTCCAAATCATGGTCCTCTCTCCCTGACGATTCTGCTGCCTCGGGGGTTGTTGGCTGGTCTTCTCGGGCATCTCCTCCACGCAAGGTCTCGTCCTGCAGCTCCCAGACCTTGCCCATCTTCTGTGCCGCCATGGCGCCTCCAGCACTGTCACAGGCAAACACAGTCTGTTACTCCTTAGTCCCTCCAGGTCTTCGGAGGGCTCCATACCCATCTGCATGGATCATCTTGCCGACTTACGTCAATTGTAGGGGCAGGAAGGGACACTGAGCAGGTTTTCTGATCCAGCAGACCGGGTAAAGGAGGAGTCAGAGTCCTCAATGGCTTTTGCAGATCTTTTATTTATATTTACCAGTCATATGTCAGGCAGGGGTGCTGGGGGGCCAGGAGGCTGGAAGTCCTCCCAGCTTCCAGTAAATCCTCACTCTATCTAGGCTCTCTCTGGCGTTCTCTGTTTCTCTTCTTCTCTCGGCTTCCGGTCATTCTTGGCTTCTGCTGGTATCCCCGTGACGCCGCCCTTATAAACTCAGTCTCTCAGCCCAGGTGTACCCACTCCAGGTGCCCGCCATCAGGCATGCATTCAGGACCACAGGGTTCCCTCATCTATCCTAATGGCGGGAGGGCAAAAAAGCCTGATACTTTTTCCTTACCCTACACCAGGGTACAGGCCAGATGCGTGGGAGGGTGAGGATTTGCCAGAGACAGAGCAGGGAGCAGAACAGGCAGACTGACTAAATACACTGCTGAGGGGAGCAGCAGGTGAGACAGGAGAGGTCTGCCGCGCCATGTGGGACCCTCACCGGCCAGCCGGAATCGAACTGGTGCTGCAGAGGCTGCGGACAGCTTCACACAGCGCAGCGCTCAACTTCCTGCGCCACCAGGGGAGGCCCTTTGGCAGTTACTTTTAAAAATAAAATGGTTGTGTCTGTGGAAATCCCAAAATACTCCTGCAGTGAGGACTACCGCAGAAGCCTGTGGCTCCGCTGCCCTCTGCATTATGTGTCTCTTGCACCAAAGCCAAGAGTGGAAACAGAGCCATGGGCATTCCACTCTTAGAGCAAGGAGGGGGACTCTTTGATCCCATGCCATCAAGTAATCCCAGTGGCAGACTTTGTTATTAATACCCTTTTAATGCCTTTAAAATATAACGGTGTAGGGCAGGAAGACCACAGTGCAGGTTTTCTAGGATCCCAGGCAGAACGGATAAAGGAGGAGTCAGAGTCCTCAGTGGTTTTTTGCAGGTTTTTTTATTGGGGTTCACCAGGCATACGGCAGGCAGGGGTACTGGGGGGCCGGGAGGCTGGCAGGCCTCCCAGCCCCCAGCAGGTCTTCACTCTGGGCTCTCGGGCCTTCTCTCAGCTTCTGCTTCTCTTGTTTCTCTCTCGGCTTCTCTTTTGGCTTCTGCTGGCATCCCTGTGACTCCGTCCTTAAAAAGCACAGTCTTAGGGCCTCCCCGGTGGCGCAGCAGTTGAGTGCTGGGTTGCGAAGCTACCCATGGCCTCTGCGACGCCGGCTCGATCCCCAGCTGCTCCCCGGCCACCGGAGGAGGGTCCCACATGGCGCGCAGACCTCTCCTGCCGCCCGCTGCTCCCCTCAGCAGTGTACTTCGGTCCTTCTGCCTGTTCTGCTCCCCGCTTTGGCTCTGGTGAATTCTCTCACCCTCCCGCTCTTCTGACTGTACCCAGTGCTTGTATAAACAAAACAAACAAACAAATAAATAAATAAAACATGCCTCTATTAAAAAAAAAAAAAGCACAGTCTTCGCCCAGGTGAATCCCATGTACCTATGCCCACCCCCTATTCCAGGTGCCCGCCATCAGGCATGCATTCAGGACCGCAAGGATCCATCATCTATCCTGATGGCGGGAGGGCAGAAAAGCCTGACATTTTCTTTACCCGACAAACGGACTCTGGGGGAGGACTGTGGGTGCCTTGGTTGTGGGTGTGGTGTAGTAACATAAACCTGATGATTGTGATCCTATACCTCTAAATCATATACACCATTGTAAACCAGCGTTGCCTCAATAGCCATAAATGTATCAATTAATACTTCTGTATCATATCTTGCAAGACAAATATTCAATAGACCAAGAGCCTGTAGCTGTAATTCTATTACAAATCTGAATATGTTTGAGATCTTTCAAAGTTGGGAGAAAATGCTAGCAGTTGGGAATTGAGTAGCTTTTAGAAATGAAACATTGGGGTGGGGGAAAGCTTGGGGAATTAAAAAAATAAACATGAGTATATTTATGAGAGTGGAGAATAATCCATCCACCAAAGCTGTGTGAGTAGTGCCATCATTTTTAACATGTTATAAAAATGGGAAGAATAGATTTATATTATGGAAATGTGTTTAACTTTTATACTGAAAGTCAAAGAATTTAAAATGTCTTTTTTAAGGTGAAAATAAACAAAGTTGTTTTATATCTGCTTTGCACATTTTTCCCAGGCTTATAGAAATGCCTACAGGTAACAGACATTATTTAATCTCACCAACTCTAGCATGTTTCAGAAGCACTCAGCATCCCACCATAAACATGCATTTGAAATATAATTCTTTCCTAGTATAGAGAAATATCTTATAAATAACAGACATCCTGGGTCCTGGTCCTTTTTCTTTCATTTACTAATTCTACACTTTAAAATAAAAACACAGGCAAAAACACTGTTCTAACAGAACTATTCCACGAAAGTTAAAATATATTAACATGTCATCAGAATAAGATAGTATGTAATGTGCACACATAATATCTGCACTTGATAGTATTTCCCATAATAGTAATTGAGTACTAGCGTCCTGATCAGAAACTCAGTATTAAATGAATCTTATAAATTGTATCAGAGTAGTTAAGATTTAGATGTATGTTTAGCTAACATAAGCACCTGAACACATTCAAATCATTTATCTTTATACCTAATTTCATTAAAGGGTTTTTAAAGCACTAATCAATTAAGACATTGAGGGGAGTTAAAAAAAACTACTTTAAAAATAGGAAATACCCATTTCCAATGGAATCATAAATTAGATGGGGTTGCTTTCCCCTCAATAACAGTAAGGCATAGAAGTAGAAGGTATAATAGTTAAATCTTTTTTTTTTTAAAGATTTATTTATTTATACAAGCACTGGGTACAGTCAGAAGTGCGGGAGGGTGAGAGAATTCACCAGAGCCAGAGCAGGGAGCAGAGCAGGCAGAAGGACCAGAGTACACTGCTGAGGGGAGCAGCGGGCGCCATGTGGGACCCTCTTCCGGTGGCCGGGGAGCAGCCGGGGATCGAACCGGCGTTGCAGAGGCTGCGGGCAGCTTCGCAACCCAGCGCTCAACCGCTGCACCACCGGGGAGGCCCTATAATAGTTAAATCTTAAGTGAATGTTTCAGAGGAATATTTCAAAGAAAAATAAGAACTTCATAAGGATTGAAAAGATATCACATCTTGACCTTGACCTTTAGGCTAAGATCAAGTGCAGTATAAGGATTGAAAAGACTAATACAACAATAAGTAGGCATGTGGCTTTCACCTTAAATGTAGCAAGCGTGAAACATCACTTTTATTTTTATAAACCAAGTCATAGCATTGTGGAAAACTATGAATATCTAAATTAAAAGGAAGGAGACAATTTAGAAAGCTACAAAAACTTGGACCTTCAGAATATTCTTCAAATATCACGTGTAGACACATTCTCCTACTCTTAGTTGTAAAAAAAAAAATAAGCTGAACATGATGGTAGAATTCTATAGTCTAGAAATCTAATGAATTTAAGGTTTCACAATGGCAGCTGTGATTAGATTGGGTCATTTTTTCTTCATTTGTGGGATAAGAAACTCTTAAGTGATAAAAGGATGTTCATCCTCTAAAGTCCACCTAATGCCCCAGACGCAGTGGGGAATGATAATACATCTACCACGTGGACATCAGTGAGTCTCTGATGACTCTCACAGCCATCTTGCTAGCACTTGTCTGTGAAGAGCCTCTGGGTGCCTTGTTTTCAGGTACTGCCTCTCCACCACCACTGACCAGCCTTTCTCTCATTTACAGCTGTGTCTTCACCATCGTCCTTTACAATGAAAACGAATACACTGAGCACATCGGTGCCTAATTCCTATTACCCAGGTAACAGACTGTACCATCGTTTCATCTCTTATAAGCCCTTCGAAATCAGAACCAATCAGTACCCACTTTGCTGTCCATGATGCTATAGAAGGTTCATGTTTAATGTGCTGTTACTGATGCTTTCTTTGGCTTTCTGTGGGAATATTGGGGGGACCTTTCATTAACTATTTACTGTTCTTTCTCTTTTTACTTTCTCTGCATTGACCTGCTTATGATGTATGACAGATCCGTTTGTGCCAACTGCAATTTTAGGTGAGAATATTTCCCTTTATCAGTTTACACAGGAGTAATTTAGAAAGTCAGTGGCTAATTTGTATGATGCAGTGACTGTAAGCTGGACATGGGGGTGGTGGGTGGCAGGAGATGGGGTGGCGAGTGTAGACAATAAATACCTTTCTCCAGTCTCCACTGATAAGGGTTTGCTGCATGTCTATTAGGAACAATACCAAAAGGCTCAAATAGACAATCCAGGCTCCAGTATTCTCCCTTCCTGTGTTCAGAATTTGAAGTTAGGTCTCCTCCCAAGGGAAAACGCAGTATGTCACCACGCAGCTGTGTACTCCCAACAGCTGAATTCTGTCCATTTGACAGTTGTGAAAGTGAAAATAACGTCTTATTCTTTTCACTTCTACCTAAGCACTAAAGCTTCAATTTCAAAAATAGCACTTTTCTAATTATACCAAATATTATGCAGAAAGATTATCGCAATTGAGTTCTGGCCCCCTCCCGGGACTCCTTGGAGCCACTTAGGGCACCCCGGCATTGCAAAGGGTCTGTCACACAGTGGGATTTCAAAGGAGCTGATGTTCTCAACAGGGAAATGACAAGATGGCACTTTATAATCACATGGTTTATTATGTGTCAGATGTCACTAGAAATGAAATAAAATGTTAGCCCAGTGGGGCTAAGTCATTGAAAGTATGAAATGTTCCCAGTGGGGAGTGAAAGGAAAAAAATCCCTTTTGTCCACTGTATGAAGGGTGAGGAGAAATGGCATTACCTGGCTAGGATAACCAGACAAGCATGAGCTGCTGTTGCATTTGAGATGCATAAATAACCCGAGTATGTCACGGCTGTGTTCTCTTTCTACCACTAACCTTCCGAAAAGGAGCACAACACAAACGACTTCAAGGTATATAACAATTCATCGTAGCAAGAATTTCATCCTCAGCTGTTCGATTTCTGCTTCCTAATTCTCTTTACAAGGGTTTATATCTTTGCAACATAATTTTCCCCCCTGTGCTTCTTTTTTTGTCTAAGCTGTTATGATTTTTGTATAGAGGGTGATTTTTTTCCCCTTATGGTGTTATCTGGACTTGAGCAGGTTTGTTGCCTGAGGGAAAAAATAAACTATGACAGAAGTTTAAGAATGGACATGAACCAGAATTGTTGAATTTGCATCATTTGGAGGTTTGACAAACAAAGCCTCTCGCCCCTTTAATACCAACTCTAAGGCAAAGAAAGCTGCATTTTTTATTCTTTTCATACGTGAAGGGCCAGGCTAATCTTAGGCACCCACACAATGTAATCTACATGCAGATGACTTCTGCAGAATCTTTTGATAGGCAAAGATTTTCAGTTTCTTTGTGTGCTGTGGCATTCATTCGCAGTTCCTCTGGTGGATATTTTGACCCTGGGAGAGCTGTAAGTGGGAGGGCTGAGACATGATTATCAGAGGGAAGAAAATGTTCAGATTTCACAGCAGGATTAAGATAAGCTTATTAAACAAATATCACTTTTTTTAAGTCGTTGCTTTGTTACTATGAACATCTAATTGACATCTTTTAAAGTTGGTTAGGCTCTTTTACCAAGAAGGAATTACTTGAACAGATAATTCAAGTAGCAAAAACGAGGTACATTGTGAAAAATAAGTCAAACAGATTGACAAATAACTGTTATTATGTCCAGCTTATATATGTACCCATCTAACAAATGGTGGTGTTTGGGAATTGTTTCTTACATGTTACTTGGTACAAATATGAATCATGAATCTATATATCATGTATTAAAGATTACTTGAACCATAGACAGGAGATAGGCTGTTCATCTACTCTGGCACTTTTTGGAAATAGTCCTGTTGTAATTTACAGTAAGACAAGAAGAAATGTTTTGTTGTGACTTGGAACTTGGCACAAAGAAATCCTCTAGTGTCTCCACCTTTTATTCTCACATGCTAAGGCGCCAGCCCTAATGTATATAGCTTTAGTATGCCTGTACATCACTCTTTCACACAAAAAAGATGACAAAGATAGAGAGAGAGAGAGAGAGAGAGAGAGAGAGAGAGAGAGAGAAACAGAAACATGGTTCTCATTTCAATTCAAGATTTGCAGCTGGTTTGTTGAAAATTCAAGATAGTTTCTTATAGAACATAGGTAGAATTAATTTGCAGTTCTTACAAAACCATCAGAAGTGTTGGTAGGAAGTTTTATTTCTCATTGCCTCTTAGGCATAAATTTTAATTTAAAAAATTTTCGTGAGTAATTTTTAACAAATACAGGAAATTCAAGACCCGTAATCATTTTTTCAGAGGAAACTAATTAATCACTAATTTTTGGTGAAATCGAGAATTTTTGCTATTGTAGGTGACCCAATTTCTTAGCAGATACCACATAAGAAACCTTCTAGTCCCTCTTTGTTATCTATGTATACTAGATAATAACGCTTTTTTCTTAGATGGTCTCAGTAGTGTTTAAATGCTCGAAGATGTGTCCATACTATTAATGAGGCCAACATGTCATAATACAGTGGGAGGGAGGGGGCCTGATGCGTGCATGGTGACACTGGCACAGCCCTGTGAATATAAAACTTCGAAGACCACCTCACCCTGGCATTAGAGCACTGGTAGGATGCTGGTATATCCATGAGAAATGCCCAGCTGATTCATTTAGGGAACTTCAGAAGATCAGTCCACAATGGATGGCATTCAATTATGTTCATCCCAAAAGGTACAAACTGAGAGAACAAGAGAGGCACAGAGGGGAAACTAATTAATGTTCCATTTATTTTAGCCTAAAGAACTGAACTTCCTGCTGGAGTAGCTAAAAGCTCTGTGGATTCACTACTTCAGCAGGGATCCTGTATCCCACTTTATGAGCTTGGCAGTTGCCAGCAAGCAAATCTGATGGGAAAATGTCCCGGTTTATCTGTGACTGTTCTAATAAATGGGAACCAATTAATTGCCAAATTTCAAAGCAAATCCAAATGAAAAAAAAAATCATAAAGTCAACTTACCACCCTTTTTTATTTTGTCTGTGTCTTTAGCCACCTTGTAGTGATCCAGGTGCCATTTCAGCAACAGCAACATAGCTACACACTTGTGTACCACCTGTCATACCATGCATCCCAGGTGCTTTGCGATGCAGATAGAAATAAAGTTTCCAAACCAGGCCCAGCTCACCGGTGTCCTCAAAACTAAATTGCCTTTGAGGCTGAACTTCTGTTTCAAAACAGAATGAACTTAAACAACCACAGCTGAATTCCCTATGGATAAACAATCTGAATTTTTTTTTAATTGAACATATATCCTTTCTTATATGTTTTGATATTTTACACTTAAAATCAATTTTGATTTAACATTCTCATTTTAAATGACTTTAATTTAGCATTATATTTTGATGAGAAGCATCCTCAATAATATAATGGCTAAAGGGATTCAGCATGATAATGAGTTAACCTGTAGGATGTAGGATTCTTAATAAACTAGCACTTTCCTGCAAAAGATGTTTTATAAGAGTTACAATTTCTGCAGTTCATTAATCTAATTTACTAGTAGTCTTCCATTAAAATATAGCCTCTTTAGGCTTATTTGACCAAATTTTGATATTAATTTTATAATACAATTTGGTTGCTTTGTTCAAGAAATTTAAATGAGAAAATGTGTCGAATACAAATAAGACTTATTTAGCCATTGCTTGGTTCATGGGGGATGAAAAGCAATTATGATACTATTTTAACCTCCTCTTTTGTTATTGAGTGCTTAAATTAAACACCTCCATCCTAACATGATGGGAGAATTGAGGCCTTGCCCTCTGACCACCTATGAAATAGAAAACCTAACTGTAAAATTAAAGCACAAATAAAATAAAAACTACCTGTAATTATTCACACAGTTCTATTGCTTATGCCCTGTTTCCTTTTTCTCCTCCTCTTTTCTCCTGATATGTATCTTCTTAAAAGTGCCAATAAATGGTAAGTTCCCCCATTCACCCCATGGAAAAGGTGTGGAGGGAATGGGAATGTGTGTCTTCTCTGTAGATTCTGACAAAGCCAGCTGGCTCTGCTGTGTGTTGGCCTGCATGTTAGCTCTTGTAGAACATTCCATGTGTGATGCGTCAGTCCACAATATTTTGTCAAGCTTTCTGATACTGGAGCATGCAAAGTGACTCATCAGACCAACTTCCTTTTTCTTTCTCCACTTTTTTTGGATTTCATGTACCAAATCCACGTTTTCATTGCTAGCTTTTTAAGCGATACCATTTTGTGCACTTTTATTTTGCTCACAGAACATTTGTACAGAGTTTATTTACTTCATCATACCAACTAGTTCACTGATCTTTGGAAGGATACAAGACTGGTCGTGCACCAGGCCTTGATGAAGTTTCAGAAAGAAACTTCTATAAACTTTAGCACCCAAGGCTAAAGGGTTCGTATCAATTAGTTTTGTGAAAGCAATATATCGTTTGGACTGCTTTGTAAAGACAAAGATTTCTGCCTCATTCCTGTCAGTTGCCAATCCCACTAAAATTTCTAAACATGTAACTTCTTTTTTGCTGAGCCACCATAGGGATAACCATAGCCATAGTTGAGGGGATTCAGCAGCAGCAACTTAGCATTCTCAGGGACCCCGAAGTAGCCATTGGTTCTCCCTCACTTTCTGTGTGACCTTCTTTTCCCAGATGAAACCCACACAATGGCCAGTGACACCAGCAGCCTGGTGCAGTCCCACACTTACAAGAAGCGAGAGCCCCCTGATGTGCCTTACCAGACCGGGCAGCTGCATCCCGCCATTCGGGTGGCCGACCTGCTGCAGCACATCACACAGATGAAGTGTGCGGAGGGCTATGGCTTCAAGGAGGAGTATGAGGTGAGCATGTGCCAGGACCCCTCCCCCCCTCTACCCTTCCTGTCAGGATGCCAGGGATCATGGTCCCAACACCAGCAGCAAGCCAAGGGACCCCACCAGGGCTGCCAGAAAGGGACCAGTCTTTCATTCATGGATCCGTTTCCATCCGGTGGTGAAAGGAGGGCTGATTCACTGGTTACCTTATTCTGCATAAAAGCACATGGAAAACAGAGGCCTGCCAGACCCTCTTCCCTATTCATGAGCAACTTTCTTGTTTTTTCTATAATTAAGTGGGATGTTAAATCTAGAGAAGCTGTGGTAGTTATTTCAGGAAGAAACTGTCCCCTTAAAACAATTATAGACCAACTAGCCATGTCATGTAGTGGAGATTAGACAGCAACACTGGGATCGGCCAGTGTCCTGCTATGACAGCCATTCCTGCCCTGCCAGGCCAGCAAGCATGTCCGTCCCTGTCCTGGAATTCAGGAGTACTTCCCGGGAGGGTGCTACACTCTTACCATATATAAAAAGTGTGAAACCTCACTCCTTACACATCTTCTGTCAGTAGCATATTCTATGGAAAAGTCACTCAAGAACCAAAGAGAATTAATTGCTTTCAAGAAATGTGATTCCAAGAATCACACCATCACCCGAGTGTTTCCATGTGAATGGGCAAATCAGGAGGGGAGGGGGCTTGGATTTCTGTTTTTACCTTAGTAAATAAAAATAGTTTAAAAAAGTAGCAGTCTGCCTACAGTACAAAACAGGATTAGATATATATAGATATGTAGCTTTTTAAATCTTAGTATGTATTTCTGGTCCTGTTTAGGCCGTAGGAAACATCTTGTCTGGAATAGAGTATTTTAAAGATCAGTTCTTACCTCCACCATATCCTACAGGTGTTGAACTTTGCTTCTTTCTCTTCTTGGGGACACTCATGATACTTCATTTTATGCCCCAGATGCTATGCTGCCTTGGGTTCAGCTCCAGTTTAATCACCAAGGATTCATTATAGCACTCAGATCTGCGCCACTGCTATGCTTCTTTTAAGTGTATGGGTGCTAAAAGGTACTATCTCATAAATAAACCAAAGATAAAGAAAAATAGATAAGGTCTTTGGTACAATGCAGACAAATGGACACATGCTCCATAGATGAATGCAGCCTTATATGTTGCCAGCGACCTTAGTTCGGAAGACTGCAAAGTCACAAAGATTAAGGCAGATCTAGTCCCAATGATAGGATTTCAGCCCAGAAAATAATTGGAAGTTCTGCATTTTAGCAACCCTAAAATTCTTAGATTTTCCTTCGGTGAATTTAACTTAAAATTCAGAGAAATTGAATGCCTTTGCATATAGCCTCATGCACTTTTAAAAGCTAGCTTAGAAATTAATAGGATTAAGAGTTAGATTTCCAAAAGCATTAATATCTTATGAAAGACAAAATTAGGTTATTGAGAAAATATAAGTCTAATGAATAGAGATGATGTCTTAGTTCTATCCAATATTCTGAATGCTGATATTGCTGAAATGTTTATTAAAGATGTTAATGTCAAAGAGATTAGTAATGGGATCACATAACAATTCTTTAAAAAAGAAACTCAAGTCCAATTTTTCAAGCACTATTTGAAAATACCTATCTTAGGGCTCCCTGTAACCCACTATTGATAATGCTTATATATGTAAAAAATTATTTCCCATTCAGGCTTCCTGAAGAAAAGTGACTTATATTTGTAAACTGAAAGTTTATACTCATTTAAGCATATTATAATTGATGATTCATTAAGAGTTATTATACTCTGAAATAAAATATGTATCAATTAGCTACCCTTCAAAAATCTGTTTCTCATTCTAGCTATTCAGTAGATTAAAAGGACTGCTTAAAGGTAATATGGGTATAAAATCATCATGTTGTACACCTTAAATCTACACAATGCTATATGTCAGTTATATCTCAGCAGAACTTACAAGGGGATGTAAGAATTTTTGAGTACTAAAACCATTATATTTTTAAGTTTTGTTTTTTTTTAAAGGAGGAAAATTATAAAGAACATATACAAGAGAAAAAAAGCAGGCACAAATAGAAAGGTACTATTTTTTAAAGATTTATTTATTTATGCATACAAGAACTGGGGTACAGACAAGAGGTGTGAGGGTGAGACAATTCAACAGAGACAGAGTGGAGAACAGAACAGGCAAATTGACTGAAATACACTGCTGAGGGGAGCAACAAGTGAGTCAGGAGAGGTCTGCTGTACCATGTGGGTAGCTCCCTGACCGGGGATCGAACTCGTGCTGCAGTGGCTGCGGATAGCTTCATAGGTTGCATCTTAATGCCTTGCGCCACCAGGGAGGCCCAGGAAGGTACTATTGAGAGAAATGTGAAATGGAAAATCCTATTAGGACTATTTCTAGCCCTTGGAATTATCAAATTATGAAGAAACTTCCCATCACCCCAAAACTTTGCTGGCGTGGGAGGGAAGGGGAATTCTGGACTTGGCAAGAGGACTGTGCTGAGGCAGAGTGGGGAACAGTGCTGGGGTGTGTGCGCCTGTGCTGGCTGTAGAAGGAAGGACTTTAGGAAGTGCCTCCCCTGAAGCCTGAAGTCCTTTCCTCTCCATCCTGGTCAGCACGTGTCACTGAATCACACGCCCAGATCCTTTCTAGAGACACAGCCCTGTTTATATGGATTAACAGTGTAATGACAGGCTGCAGTTACTCATGCTCTATTTTCACTAACCTTGGGGAGTTTTTGTTCTAGTGTGAATCTGGAAAATCCTTAAACAGTTATTTTTTAAAGTTCATTTGGTTTTTGGATCTCCAACCTAACCGACCTCTTTGAATCATGCTGTGAAGTGTGTCCCTCCCTTTTAACCCACACTGAGGGTCCAGTCGCGAGCGATAGACTCCCGATGCCATGTGAATCTCTCAGATCAAACACGGTGATGCTGTGCTTTGGGCACACCTTCTGACACCAGCCTTCCTGTATCCAGCTCCACTCTGCTTCTTATTTGGGGCCACCTAAGTCAGCCTGAGCTGCATGACTGAGCAAGGATGACATTATGCTGAAATGATGAGAGGGAGTTAGCCAGAAGATTGTTAAAGAAAATTTTTCACAATTTACTGATCTAGTGTGTTTTCATTTAGTGATTCATGAATTGGGCAGCATCCAAGTTAGCAGAGAGAAAGACACTCTGAAGAGCTGTACAGGAGATTTATATAGACCACAGTGAGACAAGGAATATAGCGGACATGTGCTGATTGGTTGAAGGAGGCTTTGTTCCTTATTTGCAGCAAAGGGAAGACTTGTGAGGTAATCTGTGCTGAGCAGGCAAGTGATGACTAGTTGCGTGACCTTTCTTTTCTGGGAGAGCCATACATAGAAACTTAGTTAAGTTTTGGGTTGCTGATGTGGAGCTTAGCATGAGTGACTCCATCTTGAGCCTAATCTGGTTACTTTAGAGAGATACAAGAGGTAGACACAAAAGCAAGAAAACTGGGTGCACTGGGAAATGGCAGTGGTGCTGAGTGCCTGAATCTAAGAAGGAACTCCAATCATGAAGGACCCCAGGTATCCCACTGAGAATCTTGGCCATCATCCTGGAAGCTGTGGGAAGAAAAAAAATAAATAGACAACCTGACTCTTATTTCTGTACTTGAATAAAGAACTATTTGGTGAAAACAGCTTAATTTTTGGACATTATTTGTAAGAGGAGTCAAAAAAATTGCTTGAAAGATAATAGTCACCACCACCCCCCAAAAATAGAGGTATAATATGAAGTATTGATATATTGCTCTATCCCCATGCAAAAAAATGCTATGGGATACTTGGCTTCAAGACTTGTTAAAGCAAATAATTACTTCAATACTGAGGCATCTCTAGGGACAAAATGTCAAGAAAGTCCCCACTGGTTGCCGCTGTGACTCAGGGTAACCACCCAATCAGTCTTTCTGGTTTTCTTCAATCCATATATATTGGGGAAAAGCAGTCATTTAGATTGTAAAGTAGTTTTGAAATAATGACTTTCTCTCCACTGATACTATTGCAACCAATTCATCTTTATCTTTTCCAAGACACAAACGTTTGAAATTTGGCCCAAAGCTGAAGGGGTCGATGTTGCTCAAGTAGTCAACTGAAGTGTGTCCAGACGAAAGAGAACACTTGCACGCTGGGATGCAATGGAGAGCACTCGATGCAGATTTCTTATTTGATTTTGTTCTAACAAGATTGTCATATGGCATATCTCACCAGGGAAATGCAATAATTTGATTCAAAAGAAACTCAGACATGAATCACAATAAAAAGTAAACATGCTGAATTGAACAGAAAGTGGCACATTGTCAGCAGAGAGCACATCCGGAGTCTCAGGAGAAGGACCAGGCAAAAGGGCAAGTCTGTTTGCGTTGCTGCCAAAAAGGAGCTGGTTCCTTTCCCCATAAGCAAAGAGCGTCAGTCTGTGCTCACCTCTTGGGGGGAAATAGTGGCTTTACCACAAATGGAGAGGAGGTGGCTGCACTCATGGGGAACAGCGTGGGGCAGAGCCGTCCTGTGGGCTTTGTCACCTCGAGTGCAGAGGTCCTACCCTGGGCCCATAGGTCCAACCTGGACAGGGTATTCTGTGCCCATCACCTCTATGGCTCCAGCAGCACTAGAACGGAAAGCTACTCAGTACTGCACAGTTCGGGGGGCCACCTCCAAGGTGACCCCACAGGTTAGTGGGAATGCACCACCTGCATAGACCCCAAAGAGCCTTCTTTTGTCCTCCACTTTGTTAGCTGACCCAAAGTATCTTGGGGACCTGAGCAGGAAGACGTTAACCTTAAGTAGGAAAACAGTCACGTAAATCTTACAGAATATGTTTTACTATCATTGTAAAATTAAGATGAAGAGAAGACAGCAAACTAAATTTATTCTCAGAGAGGGCAACCTGATAAACACAGGTGGGGCTGCTTCATTAGTCAGTAATCAATATAGCTCTAGGGCCCAGAAATTTATTTTCAAAATACTCAAGCTTTGAAAATATACTTTATTTTCAAAGTATAAACCTAAGTCACTCCTGGCAGCCCACTCTTGGAAAAAATATGTATGTGTGTATATGTATATCTTAATATATTTAGGAAAGCATTATCCTCCCCACTTCCTTTTCTCCAGGGTACAAACACGGGTGATTAATTTTATAATTGAACGTGGAGATTGTATTTTAGCTCAGTTTTAACTGGGGAATTGAAGACATTATGCAAAAAGCTCCAGGTTGAGTACAGCCTATGCATTTTCCTAAGGAAACTTGGTTTTCTTTAAGCCTGCCTATCAGCCTTGTAAGTCTTTTTAAAATAGCTGGATTGTGTATTTTCCACCCTTATCCTTTCCCCCTTCTTTCTGAGCCAAATAACTGATTTTGCTAAATGCAATCCTATATGATAGTTAATGATTTTATCTATATTTAACAAAGTGGTGGCAAGTTAGAAAGGAAGTGTCATTGAAATTTCTCACTTGCCCCCCAAAATCTGCTTTGTATTTACTTGCCTCCCACCTCAGGGAAGACAATGACACTTTATAAAATAACAACAAACAAACAAATAAAACCTCACTCCCTGAAAACCACCCCCTCTCTCTGAGGTTGCATTTGTGATTCCCTTTCAGATGCCCTTAGATTGCAAAGTCCTTTTCTGGGAAGACAGGCTGCATCCTTGGCCAGCAGGAGAGCTCAGAAGAGCACTCTGGGTGCCTGTTCTCCCGGTGGGAGGTTAGTTGGCAGAAGGAACATTGCATGTACTTCTAGAAAAGTTCAAACACAGTGTTGTATACCAATGTGGCATAAATTTAAAAAAATTAAAAGTAAATTATAAAAACAGTGTATAGCAACCCCTTTGTTGGGTTTTGGAAACGAAGGCAGGGGCAGGTGGAATCAAAGGTACTTTGTGTTACTGAGCTGATAGAACCATTGCCTGACACAGCTGGTTCTGTGCTTTTGCTGCAATCTGGGGTGGAGGTACCCCCTTCCCACTCACCTCCAACCCACTTGATTTTCAGATGTGCTTTTCAGTTCTATTTTATATTCTGAGGCACCAGCTGAGTCAATCAATTGCCACAATCAGTGCAGGTTATTTTCTATCCCACAGGATACAAAACAAACAAAATGAAACCATTGAAAACTAAGGACGGGGATTTGGGGGAGCATTGGCAAGCACTGTAAATGCATTAAGAATCACTACAGCTGCGCCTCCAATGGCTGGAGCAGCCAAGTGAGTTTTGACATGTTTTTTTTTTTTTTTTTTTTGTTTTCTTTCATTATTATGGTGGTGCTGAGCCAGGTTCATAAGAAAATGATTTTAAAAAACAAAACGAAAAAACACTTCTATCTGAAAAGTTGAGATTGCTTCAAGCTACTTAGGGGGCAAGTCAAGTTCATATATTTAGCTATTTTCATAGTAGATAAAAGTTTCTATAAATTTTTAAATAATGCAATAGAAAGGGTTGTTTTTAGGGTGACTCTTTGGCTTATATTTTCTAAACTACAAATACAGATGCATCTGTCCAATTCCTTCCATGCTCCGTTTTGCTATGCTTGCTTTCAGGACCTCTTAAGTGTTAGCTGATTTTTTAATCCAATTTTCTTCTACCCATGCCCCTGATTATATGTGCAAGCTCAAACTTCAGGCAATTTGATTCAAAAATTGTAATTTCCTATGACTCTCATCCTCCCTCTGATGGCACTGATGGCAGTGGACATTTTCCAATTTGTTTAAAGCATTTCTTGTCAACTGTCCGGTTTCCATTTTGAAGCAGGTTATTAGAATTCTCTGTTCTGCCCTGGGAGGAGTTGAGCACTTTCCCCACTTGTTAGCATGCTTTTAGTGCCAGATGTCATTAAGCACAGGACCCACCCCCTGGGGGCCTGTAATGCACCAGTGTCCTAGCACTTGCTGGCCTCATCATTTGTGTCAAGTGTGGACATAGTTGGATGGTGTCATCACCCACCAAAATGGTCTAGCCGGCTTTGGCAAGTTGTCATTGCCCCCTCACTCTCCTTCAACTCCACATCAGCAGGTCGTAAGTCTTAACTACTTTTCCACCCCATTTTCAGTTCTATTTTAATTTTCATTCTCTCCTCCCCCATCCCACTGCCTGGCCTCAACTCTGCCCACACCATTGTTAGGGTCCCCTAACATTCGAAGTTTAGTCCTCCCCCCTTCAAATCTGTCCTTTACTATGCAGCCAATTTTATTTATAAAACATAGGTGTTGGGCCTCCCCTGGTGGCGCAGCTGTTGAGCACTGGGTTGTGAGGCTGCCCACAGCCTCTGCAGTGCCAATTCGATCCCTGGCCACCAGCGAGGGTCCCACCAAAAAAAAAAAAACATAGGTGT